ATATATATATATATATATATATATATGCATTTTAAACCCTTTCCACACTATTGCAATATTCTAAACAATGTTTCTAAACGCTCTAAAAGAGCACAGAATGTCATGATTTCAGCTCTCTGTTACGCTGCTCTTTGCCACCTGCAAGCGCTCTTGGCCACGCCCACTTCTCCGCCTGCAGTCTGAGAGTGAAGTGCTCTGTTAGGAATATATGGAACAATAAGATCTGTAATATAAGATGGAGCTAGGTTGTTGAGGGCTTTGTAGGTTCGAGGTAAGATTTTGAATCATATTTTGAATTTGACAGGGAGCCAATGGCGAGCAGCTAAAACAGGAAAATGTGTAAAATTTAGAGTCACTAAATGTGTTTTATTCGTGTGTTAAAGAGAGAAATCATTTTGCTTTGTTTACCTCGGAACTAAATCTGCAGTCAGCCCACATTTTCTCCCACACATTCAACCAAATTGCAGTTTATATTTTTTGTGTCCAACATAGCATCTCCAGCCAAACTGGAATCAAGAAATTCTTTAATTAGCTGATTTAGATGGTTTCTGTAGAACTACCATACAAGTTAAAATTGCCCGTTGAACGAGGTGGGGGCCCAGTGTTTTAAGCAGTTAAGAAAATTCAGAGTGAGCGATTTAATGGAATCAAACAAGCAAAACAAGAAGAAAACCAGAGAATAATTCATCTCGGACGGCTCCAATCTGCCGTTTGCTGTAACAGATGGAAGTTTGGACCATTTTGCTCTCAACACTGAGAGCCACTGGTGGGTTTCTGGAGTGACGAGAGTCACCAGCGATGGTATTTACTCATCGATTGCGTCCGCAAAACATTTTTCAGCTGTTTTAAGTTTCGAACGTGTCATCCAATTATCCAGCTGGTTTTTTTTTTTGTTTGTTTTTTTTTTTTTTCCTAAAAGCTTTCAGACTGGTTTTTGCAGATGATTTATCACGCGTAAGTGGATTTCGCCGACACTTTTCTTCATTTACAACCAAATCGTCGTTCCGAGCGAGCATACGGAGCACTTACCGCTGAAAATGTGGCCACCTGAGTATAATTATTATTGCATGCAGAAATGTCTTTTAATCTGCCGACAGAGCGGCGTTTACGGCAGCACTTCCTCACCCCCCCCCCCCCCCCCCCCCCCCCCCCCGGTCATGTTTGTAGAAAGAGACTGACTATACTTCACTGTCTTTCATCTGTGCTCTATTTTAGTATACGAGTGCACATGAATCATCCCACAGAACGGAGTATTTATTTTAGTGCACTATAATAGACAATTGTATTTCAGCATAATTGTTAAAGTCCCTGGATAGCGTCCTTTAATTATTTACATCTTGAGGATTAGCATAGCGCAGCGGTGTGTTACTATATTTCCATTGTAATTATTTCTTGCTGCTTTTACAGACTGCACATCTTAGCTATCATTAATCAAGAGCTGCAGGACTGGGTCACAATATTCAGATGATTTGCAAATGCCATGATTTCTAGGCTTCCAAGGTGCTGGTAATTTGCATACAGACAACAAACCTCTCCTTTCCCTCCCTGCCAGACTCCGCTGCTCTAACATCACCTGTTTTTTTTAATCATAATTCTGTTACTTTGACTATTTATTTTCTCTCCCTTGCACTTCTCCACTTCCTTAATCAATCTACTTTTTGAATTAAAAGAAAAGGAAAATCTCATTCTTATGTAAAACTGGAGGAAAAACAAAAAAATACCTGGTGCCTGAGCCATCTACAGATATCAATCTCACACACCCACACACATACACAAACAAAAAATAATAGCTTCATATCTGAATGCTCTTGCGTTTCTTTTATATCCTCTCCCCTCCTACACCCTTTGAATTTGAATTGCGTTTTGCATAATCGGGACAGGAATGCATTGGAATTGGATTTGGCGAAGTTGGTGCAAAGGCATATTGACGTTTTATAGGATTTTACAGCACATGCATAATTCTGAGACAAACAGAAGCTCATATTCCTGACGTTACGTAACGCGGAGATGTTTCCAGCGGGGTTACCAATATTTTTGGACTTAATCTTCTTAAGTGGATACGTTGTCCTCGAGGTGCCATCGTTACATTTTCTTACACGTTTTCCCCTGGATTTAGTTCTTGGCACGGAGCAAAAGGCTGCGAAACAATATTTAGACTTTTGTGCAACGGTGAAACTGACAGCATAAAATCTGGAACAGACACGTGGAGATCGGAGATTTTCTAAGAGAGTTTAGGAATTTAACACAAAATGTCTTTTTCCACTTGTGGTTTTTAGTCAGTTGTCAAATTATTTTTAATGCTACTTGGGAATTTGTTTTGTTTCTAAAGTTTTCTTACTTTTTTGTAGCTGTTTGTCAGTGATAATCCCTAAAAGCCTAACCATCCATTAAGTATTGCACAAGTAATTAACAGCATTTTTATGTTTATTGTTAATTAAATGCATTGAGCAGCAATATGGAAGCCTCAGTAAATTCAGCTGTAAAAGTCAGAACAAGCATTTTGCACATTTACTCGGGACTTAACTCCTAATGCTGAAATATTTTACCTTTTTTTTCTAGTCTGGTCAAATTAAATATATATTTAAATATTTATTGTGTGAATGTTTTTGAAGTATTCACACTATTGTGATCCATTTTTCTTCCATTCGTTTTTCAGCGCGATTCTCATCCCGCAATTTTCAACAATCATAAATCCAAACGTTCAGCTCTTTCAGGACAATCCTGCTATGACTTTTGGTACTGGTGCAACTTTAGCTTTTTGAAATATTTAGCCTTTTCTGCCTTTTTTCTCCTCCTAGAAAATGAATTAAGCTCATTTTACATCCTTCAAATCTTTAGGTCTGTTTACAACCTTTTCCTGCTCCTTTCACATTTTGTTCTGTTCAGCTTCTTTCAGCTTCCTTGTGCAAATATAAACTTTTTTCCTACTATTTTCAGCAAATTTCAGCTGTTTTGTGCCCCTTTCTGATTATTTCTGCTAACTAGAACATTTTTGTACTTCTTCTAACTTATTTCTGCTAATTTCAGCATGTTATGCTCCTTTCAGCTAATTCTGTAAGTTTCAGCTTTTTCTACTATTTCAGCTACTATTAAGCTAATTATGCTAATTTAAACTTTTTCAGCTAATTCCACATTTTTTGCACCCACTTGGACTTTTTCAGCCTAATTCAACTAAAATGTGCTCACTCCACTTCCTTCTGGTAATTTGAGCTTCTTTCTGCTTTTTAGCTATTTTTCAGCTGATTTTTTTTGTTGTTGTTGTTAATTTCAGCTTTTTTTTTTTAGATAATTTCCACTTTTTTTAGCTCATTTCTGCTTCTTTCAGCCTAATTGGACAAACGTGTTCTTTCTGCTTTCTTCTGCTAATCTAACTTGTTCTAGCTTTTCAGCTAATTTCAGCTGTTTTCAGGTAAATTCAAGTTTTTCATGGTAATCTCTGCTATGTTCAGTCTAATTAACTTCTTACAGCTAATTTCAGCTTGCTATGCTCCTTTCATTTTTTTTTCTGCTAGTTTCACATTTGTTATTTTTTGCTATTTCAGCTACTTTTTAGCTGTTTTTGTGCTAAATTTAGCTTTTTAAGCTAATTCCACATTTTTAACTCATTTCAGCTCCATCCACTTCAATTCTTGTAGTTTATGATTCTTTCTGCCTTTTCAGCTACTTTTCAGCAATTTTTTGCGATTTCAGCTTTTTTTTTTAGCTAATTTCATAATTTTTGTGCTCATTTCTGCTTATTTAAATCTAATTAAGCAAATATGTGTTATTTCTGCTTTCTTCTGCTTACTTAGGCTTATTCTTCCAGTTCAGCTACATTTTAGCATGTTTCAGTTAACTTTAAAGTTACATTTTAGCTCATTTCAGCTGTTTTTAGGCAAGTTTTTCAGCAAATGCAGTCACACTGCATTTTAACAGGAAATGCAATTTCTCTAGTGTAATTTAATTTCTGACACCCCCCCCCCCCCCCCCCCCCCCCCCACACACACACACACACACACACACACACACCACCACCAAAATAAACAAACAACAACAAAAAAAAACTACAATATTGTTACGTTAAGCAGGGGTAAAGTTATTCTCCTCAAGTAACGGGGCCCAAAGGCCTTTTTATTTTTCACTTCTTAATTTTATCCCTTCTTTTACTCTGAGGGTCATTTCTTTTTTCAGCTCAGCTCGTAAAAAAAATAAAAAAGATTAAATGGTTAAACAAACAAAGTCTGATTCAACTTCTCACCTCTTATTTTATTGAAACAATCCATCCTAAAGGTGTGTGACGTTTACTCATTTTCTTCACGTCTTTTCTAACCGTGTGTTCGAACTCTCGGGGATTTCAAGTCAAATTCACGTCGACCGTGTTCCATTTGCTTAGTTCTAATGAGTGTTCGGTAGTGTTGTCCAAAACGTTTTCAACCACTCCAATTTGTTTCCAAGGCAGGAAGCTTTCTTGCAATTATTTGAAGTGGTTCGGATCAATGCTTCGGAGTCATTTTTATTTGTTTTTGTCTTGTCTCTGCATCTGACTGTGAAAGCACATTGTGCGGTGTGGACAAGTGGTGTCCAAACGTAGTATTAGACCTTAAAACAAAGGAGATGGAGGGTTATAAAACAAATTAACAATATTAAAAAGTCATGTTTTTAGGAAATTTAAAAATAGGCTAAATTCTGAAACGAGACCAAAGAGCTGCTTTATCCTTCAGATGTTTATTAAGTTTTCAGCGAATAACTTTTTGGCCTTGTTGGTGCTAAAATACAACTAATATGCACAAATTGTTATCTTTGGTATTTGTCATAGATTCAATAAACAAAGGGGGGAGCCAACAGGGACTTTGTGACAGACTGCTGGAAACAAGTGTTTAAAGATCCCATTTAAAACTGATTCTTTGCTAAGTTTTGCGTTATATTTACACAGTACTGCACTATAAAACAAATCCGTAATTTTTACGAAATAAAACTGGCAGCGGGGTTGCCAGAGAAATTCTGTAAAAAAGATTCTGACTGTGTAGATAGTTTTACAGTGTAAGCTGTAAGTTCAACAGTTTTGCCAAGTAAATTTTATATATCATTCTGTAAACATTTTCACTGTACTTTTTTTACAAGTCTTTTGTGTAAAAATACATTTAAACTTTTACATGACGTTTAACTGTAAATTACATTTAACTGCTTTTGATATTACAATATTTTTCTGTGAATTTTACTTTTTTTTTTTTTAGATTTTCACAGTAAAATGCTGTGTTTTCTACATACAGTATCATAACTGTACATTTAGTTAACTAATTACTGTAAATTTCTGTTTCTTGATTTACAGTAATACAGTGTACAGTACAGTAGTCCATCTCTACGTCACAGTTTGACTTTCACGAACTCGCTCTATCGTGGTTTTTCAAAGTAAGATTGGACATGGCACACAATTGGCTGATTGATGGATGAGATGCACATTTGGCATATATTTTTTATTAAAAATAAATTATTTTAAATTATATACCACATTTGTGCAGCCCATACTATAGGATAAACTTCCTGCTGCAGCTGATCAGCTGTTCACCGTGCATGATCAGCTGTTTGCCTTTTAGAGCGGAGAAGTGGGCGTGGCCAAGAGCGATTACATATGGCTAAGAGCAGACGAGGCAGGGAACTGAAGTCATGACATTCTGTACTCTTACAGCATTTATAGTTTAGAAACATTGTTTAGAATATTGCAAGAGTGTGGGAAGGGTTTAAAATGCCTTCATATATATATATATATATATATATATATATATATATATATATATATAAATTACTACTTGTACTAGTATTCCTACTTAGTGGTTTTTCATTTATCGGGGGGGTGGGGGGGCTGAGAACGGAAGCCCTTGTGATAAACAAGAGACTACTGTATTTACTACAATGATGCACTGTTTTGAATTGTACTGTATTTTACTGTTTCCATTTGACAATTTTTTATGTATTTTTTACAGACTTTTTTTACAGTGATGATTTGTTCCTTGACTTTAAAAGCCCTTTTTGGGTTTTTTTTGTTTTTTTGCCTGAATAATTCATAACTTTTGTGGCTTCATAAAAAAATTTAAACTGTAAAAATAAAAAAGGTACTGTACTGAACAAGAGCCAAAGTCAAAAGAAAAACTCTGACGGACCCCCAGAAAGCCTGGAGAAGTTCTGATTAGGCCCACTGCAAGATTACAAGAAAGTCTGACTCCTTCGAGGCTCATTATAAAAAAATGAGGGATGATTCAAGACTTTTGCACAGCACTGCACATGACAAACACCTGGTGTACTTTACTCCTCTCTGTTTTCCTCTTGCAGCGATCGTTCTGCAGCGCCATGATGGATGAGCTGCGCGTCTCTCTGAAGTGCCAACGCCGTCTGAAACAAAAGCCTCAGCCGCCCGCCATCGTCAAGACAGAGGAAGTCATTAACATGCACACGTTCAACGACAGGAGACTCCCAGGAAAGGAAACCATGGCATGAACGCTGACAGCACCCCGAGCAAACCCCTCAATAGCCGTCACGGAGGGGGAAGACAGGGGTCAAATTAATGCTGACTTAACTACAGACTGAGGTTAGCAGGACAAACAGGATTCCTTTTGAACCCACTTGCTTATGTAGACAGATGTTTCCTGTGGAAATGTAGATACCCGAGCAGTGTCACCTCACTGTGACATTTACTTCTTGAAGGGAGCGGAAAACTGCGGACTTTTTGGGCTGGGCTGTCAACTGAAGCAGGTCCGAGTAAGTTTGTGACAACAACAAAAAAAAAGTAACAATAATTTAAAAAAATATATTAGTCTGGTCTATACCAGAAGTGAATTTAAACACACAAACACTTGTAAACACACGCACACACTCACATTCTTATTATACACCTTTTAACTCTCGTGCTTAAGGGAAAACTCTGTTCGGACGGTGAATTAAAAAAAAAAACAGTGGTAGTTTTTTCCGTTGCCGTCAAAGCCCTTTTTTTTTTTGTCTTACCTTCACGTGTGTGGCCCAATCAGTCCCTCCCGCAGTGGCTTGAGTATAATTTATACGAAAACACTAATCTCACACCGACACCTGAAACAGTAGTCAGTGCCATATGATTTTATTTGAAGAAAACGATGTATAAAAGTGATATTTAGTTTGCCATCATCTCTGCGGACCTTGTCGAAAACTCATCATTTTCTTCTGTAACGCCTTCCTTGTGCCAAAGTTCTGCCATTTGTAAAGAACTTGCCTCTTACGTTGGAAGCCTCGGCAAAGAAATGTAAACTTACACCAGTTTCCAATCTGTATAAGTTGAAGAGGCAGGGTTTCTACAAGTGTTTAGGTTTTTTTCTTTTTGTACAAGAGGTTTTGTAGTACTTTGTATCATGGTAGCCCCATCCTGTGGACAAAACATGTAGCAGATACCGACTCAGCCCTCGAATTCTGTCAACACGCTTTTCAGACTGTGCTCATCTCTTTCATCGTCGGTCTAATACCCAGTCTGTTGTGTGCCAGTCTCACGGGGCCCAGGAGTGCATGCTGTCTGGGGACAATGTAGTGGATTTTTTTTTTTTTTTTTGGTGGCTGAGCCAAAACAGAATCGTAAATGAAGTGCTCAAAAGAAGGCGGCGGCTGTTGTCCTGTCGGCGGAGCCGCGCTGACTGCGAGCAGCTAACGGTAGCTTTGATGAATCGCCATCAAAGAAATGGTAAACCATGCAAATGTTGCTTGCGTGGAATTTAAACATGGCTGTCGTTTTGTAGCCACAACAGATTTTTTTATGGCGGGTCCTAAAAAATTTTTTTTAACTTGAGGAAATAAATATTGTGCAGACCGGCACACATACAGATATGAGGAAAAAAATGTAAAAACGACATAAATGGAAGTAATTTTATCAAACTGGGGTTGGGGGTAGCTTTTAAAATGATGTTTTTAATTATGAAGTTTAAGAAAATGTTTATTTCCAGTGTTCTTTGTTGCAACCATAGACCAGCCATATTATAGATCAAGATTGTGTTCAAAATGTGTACTCGTTCACTATAATAGGTCATAATGGGGGGGGGGGGGGGGGATAGGGGTCAGCACAGTGTGTTTTTTATTTTTGAACACGACTTGAAGGCAGCGTGCTTCAAAGTTATGCGCCGAGAGTTTAAAGTTAGGTGAAATAAACACCTGGAATGAAACTGAAGTGATGGACGACATACTTTTGCTGGTTTTAGTTGAGATACTTTAAGTGTAAATAGCATCATTTCTCTCTATAACACTAACATAAAACTTATTTACACATTATCCGTCACACTCTTTATCACACCGCATCTTTGTAAGCAACCATAACTATACACAGTAAGAACCCTTAATGTACTAAAATTGTGAATTTATATCAAATGAATCAATATTTTTGTACAGAACTACTGATTTTAAAGTTGTAGTTTGTGTGCAAATAGTACAAATGAGTCACACAGCATTATATAATACATTGTGACTTACAGCGTATTTTTATTGATGTATGGGATCACTTTGCCTTTTCTTATATTTTCTCAGCCCTGGCGCTCAGAGGATGAGAAGAGCCATATTTTAATTAAAGCGCCTACGTAACTGAAGGCGTTTTCACTGCGCCTGATGAAAATTACAATAATGAGCTGTGGACGTTATCATTAGCCTCGATTAGCTAACTACTAACTATTAATATTAACTATTATTAGCCTTTAACTCCTAGCTATAGAACGTCTATGGTTGGAACAAGACACACTCTTAAGAAAACCACAAACCTGATCAGGCACTTCTGTTATTTTCAGCCGACACAATAATGTACGCAACCACAACAATAAATCTCCTGTAAGGTTGCTAATGTGCCCTCGCAGATTTATTAGTCCGGATCCACAAAGAAAAGCATCAATCTAGTGGGAAGATCCTCATATATTCAATTCCCATCAACTTGTTTTAAAAATGTTTGCGTATTTGTGTCAATATAAGCCTATATATTCGCTTCTTTTGTTATTTACATCGGAACTATTGTGAAATAATCACATTTCACCGGCACTTCGTTTGAATTCATTTTCAGACTCAATGAAATGATGACAAATAACCTGAAAGGCACCTTAAGGATGGGCGGTAAATGAATGTATGTACCAGTGCAGCTGCAGTAGATCTGGTGGTGGCATAATGAAGGTGCTTGCAAGTTGAAATTAAATGTTGCACCTTCAAAACAAGGGTGTGCTTCACTCATCTCGCCTCAAGTGGGCTTGATCGTCTTGAGGGCATGATGTTGATGAAAGCTTGTGGGTTGAGCAAATCATTTATCCACTAATTGTCTCCAGATGTGTATCCTCCTCATCATGTAACACAACCCACATTTGGTCCCACATCTCTTGCTGTCTCTGTTCCCTGCTGTAAAAAAAAAAATGACAAGCATACTGGGTAGGTTACTACTCCTACTGCCCGTTTTGACCCGTTTAACTGTTTTTTCAGGGTTTTAGACGACCAAATGAAACCACGACACACAGACCAATCACAGCGTTGACGTTAATGTACAAAAACTGACAGGGGGAGGCAATATCCTTTATCCTACTGGTGGTCTACCAGCGTTGCTTGTCATTTTCCATTGAGCTAAATTTAGCTGTGCGAGCCAAAGGGATTGAAACGTTCATCAGTTGAATCCAAAGGCTTGGCTGTGGAAAACAACAAAGCTCGTGGAGTCTGACATTGATGCAAGGTTTTACAAAAACTGTCATTAAAAATGTCAAAACTTTAGAACGTTGTCTTTTTTTAATCAGTCGCCACTGATAGGCAGAGGGCTGGTGTATTTTCGCCCATGTGTGTGTGTGTCTGTGTGTGTGTGTGGAGGATGGTGTTGGTGTTAAGCCTGTCATGATAACAAATTTTGCTGGGCGATTAATTGTCTCAGAAAATATTGCGATTAACGATAATATTAGTTGAAATTTGACAATAATTAGTAATGATTGTCAAATTTAAGAAGAAATGTTGGTTGATTTTTATTTTGAGTGTAGTACCTTTTTTACCACTGGAGGGCAGTATAAGACAGTTTGAACCGAAGGATGGATAGTGAGGGATCGAGCAGCGTGTCTCTTTAAGAAAAATGGGAGGGAGGCCCCTTGACGTGACAATGGCTGTGTCTCTTTCCTTTTTTCAGTTCTAAAAATGGCGGACGTTCAGTGTGGTTTGAGCTCTTAGCATAGCATTTGTGACACAAAGCTTTTAATAAAAATCAGTAAACAAGTTCTCAGCTTCTTTTTGCAGAGAAAAACAACTTTTTACACGAAGCCACGGGTTTCAACTGTGAATTTTGGAGCTTCGACAAGACGGAGGTTTTTTTTCCACGAGGTCGGCCTGTTAGCTTAGCTTCTCAGCTTAGCTGCTTTTAACGATACAAAAAAAAACAACGTGATTTTGAATGGTTAAAATAGATTTTAAAGAGAAAAGAGAAAGGGAGGGGTCAGTGAAGAGCACCAGAGTTGAGCCTTTTGTCATCCAGTGTCTTCAGTAGAAGGAGAGAGACACGAAGAAACGATAAAGCCGATAAATGAAAATGAGGTGGATAATTTTCATTTATCATGCAATTAATTGATTTATTGTTTATCGCGACAGGCCTAGTTGGTGTGTTAGCAAAATATCTCCTTGATGCAGCGAAGTCTTTGCTTCAGGCGGAGGAGTTTGTCTTGTTTAAGGGTGTCGGTAGGATGGAGCTGGACTGGAGATCTGGAGATGTTTCAACTGATTCGGGACTGATCCTCAATAATGAGGGTGTTGCTTTGGCCAGCCGTGGTGAAAAAGGGGTTCAGTGAAAAGGCAATGCTATCAATTTGCTTTTTGGCTCCCGACTTACTGGTCTGTCCTCACCTGTGGTCATGATCTTGGATCATGACCAAAAGAACAAGATCCCGGATACAAGCGGATGAAACGAGCTTCCTTCGTAGCGTGGCCGAGCTTAACCTCAGAGAAAGGGTGAGGAGCTTGGAGTAGAGCTGCTGTTCCTTCGCATCAAATGGAAATCAGCTGAGGTGGTTCATCTAATTAGGACGCCTGCATTTAGAGGTTTTATGGGCATTGGCAAGACGTATTGGGGCAGAACCAGAACTTACCAGAAGGATTGTGAACCATCTCTGGCCCGGGAACGCCTCGCTGGAAAGTGTCATTAGAGAACGATTTGTCTGGATTTCTCTCCTGGACCTGCTGTCTCCATGACTGGACTACAGATAGGCGGCAGATGATGGAGACATCTACAAATGATTATCTTTTGAAGCCAACCCACTTTAGGATGTTTCCATCATCAACTGACTTTACAAAACACTAAAATGAACTGGTGAAAATACTTGTTAAAAGATGGTGTGGCTGTAGAAGAGAATCTGTCACAGCACATTCTCCAAGTGGGATTTATTGCACAAGAAGTTTTGCTTAAACTGTTGAAGTCAATCATTTGTCTGTTAGTAAAATATTTTCTGAAACGCAGGACACAAGTATTTCCAAAGTAATCATCGGACGTGCACCTACAGTTCATTAACAATTGGAGTCAACCATATTCAAGATGGCCGCCACAGTCAATTGGCATAAGTCAACATATAAACAGCTAAAGCTCAGACAGTTGAACTCATGAGTTTGATGTGATGGTACCTGAGGGAACAACAACCTGCTCAGAGCTTTCTGGTCAAACCAGACCTATTTTTCAAACTCTGAAATTAACTGGAGTCAACTTGGTTTGTCTGTTAGCAAAATATCTCATGAACCACTGGGCAGATTTATAATGAAACTTTCAAAAAGTAATCACTTTTATAACGTCACGTCTTCTGGAGTCGACCGGACTCAATACTATGTGATGATCACATTAAGTGATCTGAGAAACATACAGAAAATGGCTAAAACTCTTATAAATATTTAGCTAACATTTAATGTAGCAGTATCCAACATATTCTAAGATGTATAATATTACAATATGAGATGATATATAATAATGATAATATTCATATGATAATAGTCATATTCATTCTAATAATGTTATTTTCAAGGTTTGACCAAAATAGCTACAACATCCTTTTTTTTTTCTTCCTTTCTTAGTTTAAAACTCTG